TTTGTACCCTTTCCTCCTCGCGGATGAGCACAAAGCTTATGACCGATGTACTCACCCCTAGGTACAAGAAGAGTGTCTCGTCGGGCTTAGGCTTGGAGAGCATGGGAGGGGATGAAAGGTATTGCTTCAGCTCCTCAAATGCTTGCTGGCACTCCGTCGTCCATATGAAGTTGTTGACTTTGCGCATGATTTGGAAGAAAGGGAGATATTTTCAACCGATTTGGAGAGGAAACGGTTTAGGGCCGCAAGTCGTCTTGCAACCGCTGTACCTCCTTCACATTTTGTGGTGGCTCCATGTTCATAATGGCCTGGATATTCTCCGGATTAATCTCAATGCCCCTTGGGTTGACCATGTAGCCAAGGAATTTGCCCCCTTGGACGCCGAAGGTGCATTTCTTGGGGTTCAGGTGGAGCTTGAACTTTTTCATGATCTCAAAGATTTCCCGGAGGTCGTCAGCATGGGTGGTAGATTGCTTGCTCTTGACAATCATGTCGTCGACGTATGCCTCCATTGTCCGGCCGAGGACTGCTCTGAAGATTTTGGCTACCATCCTGGTGTATGTGCCGCCTTAATTTTTGAGCCCAAAAGCCATGACAAGGTAGCAAAAATTTTCCTCCGGGGTCATGAAGGTTGTCTTCTTGGCGTCATCTTCGTTGATGAAGATCTGGTGGTACCATCTGAAGGCATCAAGGAACAACATCAATTCGCAACCCACCGTCTCGTCCATCAGCTGATCAATGTTGGGGAGAGGGAACGGGTCCATAGGGCATGCCTTGTTCAAATCAGCGTAGTCGACGCACATTCTGAATGTTGGGGGCTTTTGGGCGAGGACAACGTTGGCCAACCATGTGGGATATTTCACCTCCTTGATGTGGCTGATTGAGAGGAGCATGGTGACCTCCCCTTTGACGAAGTCCCGTCTTTCGGCTGAGAAGTAGCATCGCTTCTGCTTGACGGGTGTGGAAGCTGGATCGAATGACAACCGATGGGTGACCACTTTCGGGCTGATGCCTGGCATGTCTTCCGGCCCCCATGCAAAGATGACGGCATACGACCGCAGAACTAGGAGAATGGCATCACGTTGGTCCTGGGGGAGTTGCCTCCCGGTTTTCAGAATTCGCTCTGGCTGAGAGGCATCTAAGGGGACTTCCTCGATGTCCTCGATCGGCTCAGCATGTGGCCTCTCTTCGTAGTTGGCGATAGTCATGGTGATGGTGTCCACCCTTTGCTCGGCGCTTGCGGCCGGCTTTGTCAGTTTGAGGTAGCATGCTCTTGCTATCCTTTGGTCCCCCCTGGCGTAGCCGATGCCGCCGCTGGTGGGAAACTTTAGCCATAAATGTTTCATGGAGATGATAGCCTCCAGGTCCTCCAATGTCGACCTCTTCCAGATCAGGTTGTGGACGCATTCGACTTTGACCACCATAAACTCCATGTCAATCTTGGTGTGATGGGAGCCGTCGCCGACGTCCATGGGAAGAACTATCGTGCCTTCAGCGTCGATAGAGTCCTCGGTGAAGCCGGACAACGGTGTCTGTATCGGCTTGAGTCGGACCCTATCCAATTTCAGTTGCTTGAATGTGTCAAGATACATGACGTTGACGAATCTCCCTGTATCGATGTAAGTGCGATGGATGATGGAGTTGCCTATCTCACATTGGATGACGAGGGCGTCCCTGTGTGATGCGGGACCTGAAGGCAGATCCTTATCGGTGAAGGTGATCGCCTCCGTCCACTGCTTCTTCGGCTGGGGGGAACATGGGACACCTCGCCAATGTATAGGGATTGGGCTCATTTCTTTCTCTGGGTGGCAGAGTCCCCCCAGTATTACCTCCCACGATGAGGTGGATGTGGTTCTTCTTCAGATGGGGCTCCTCGAAGTCCTCGTCGTCCTCGCTGAGTCTACCAATCTCTCACTTCTTCGTCGAGGGTTTCCCCCCATTTTTGCCGGTGTTTACCCAAGTATTTTTGCGTGGGCCACCTTTAACAAATTGGGAGAGTTACCCCTGCCGAATCAGGCGCTCGATGGCTCTCTTCAGCGTGACACAATCGTTAGTGTTGTGGGAGGTGTTCTTGTGGTAACGGCAGTAGGTGCCGCCCTGATGAACAACATAGATTTCCTTTGCCGACTGAGGATCTCTCACAATGAGATCATGCTCCTCAGCGTAATTGAGGATGGAGCCGACCGAGTGTGTGAGAGGGGTCCTCAGCCTTTCCACCCTCGGACGCCATGGGCGATCCTTCTTGTTCTGTCCGCCAGACCCTTGGCGGTTCTGTCCTCCTTATCCTCGGTCCCCGGCCGAGGGTGCGCTCGGAGTTTGCGCAGAGTTTGTCTTCTTCAAGGGTTGCCCTCCATCCTTCTTGTGGGAGTGGAGCTCGTCGGCATCAGCGTACAGGTTCCCTCCCTGGAGTGTCTTCGTATATGACCTCGGCGGGTCGGTGATGAGGCTACCCTCATATGGGCTGCTCCGGAGAGCGCCCTGATAAAGGACGAGGATGGTGCATTCATCGGCCCCTTCGACCTCGTTGGTCTCTGTCGTCCATCGATCGATGAAAGACCGGAGTGATTCACCGTGTTGTTACTTGACAGAGAGGAGATGATGAAGTATTATTTACGCGCTTCCTTAGCTTCCAGCAAAATGGGCGAGGAAGCGTTGGGCAAGATCCTGTCATGAGTCCACGCTTCCTTCGGGGAGCGCGTTGAACCATTTGTACGCTGGTCCCTCGAGAGTGGAAAGGAACCAGCAGCAGAGGTACTCGTCCGACGCATTCACCATCAGCATGTTGTTATGGTAGCGGATGAAATGCTCCTGAGGGTCGGTGCGGCCGTCATAGGGCTTGATGGCATTCCCCCGTTATTTCTCGGGAATAGGGGCCGAGAGTACCCTCGTGGTGAAGGGGGTCCTGGTCCTGATTTGGATGATGGGGTCATTCCGTCCCTCGGCCAACTCCCTTTCCAAGGCCCTGACCTTGTGCATGAGTGCATCGAAGTCGGGGTCCCTAGACGTGTTGGTCGTAGGGATAGCAGCCGACTACTTAGCCTCCATCTGGGCAAGCCTCCTCTCCAACTGGGCGATGACCTCGTCCCGGGGGTCCTTGGCGGTCGTAGTGGCGCCTTGCTGGGTTCGCACGCGGGTTGCGTGAGTCGTGTTGATTTGGTGGCGCACGTCCTCCTCGTGCAAATTTCCTTCGCCCTTGTTCAGGCGGGGCCCATCAGCTGCCCGGGAGATGGACCCCAAGCTTTCCCTTGGCGAGCCAGGCTCACGTTCACCAATCCGTCCCGCCATCCTCTCCGACGCTGGTCGACGGCGCGTGTCACCTAGCCTATGAAAGGCCGAGGCTTTTCCACACGTTGGGGTCGGTCCAGCTTGAAGAGGGGAAGCAGGGTGGGAGTGGGATGACGCCGTATCCTGGGTCTCCACCCCCTCGTTGTTGCCTATCTTCATGACCAACGGCTATGGCGGTGGATGTGGTGGAGTAGTGTTCTTCCCCGTGCTTGGCATGAGTGCGCTAAGGACAGTGGGGTTTTGAGCCAAACTGGCGATGATGGCCGAGAGCGCGGTTTGAAGCTGAGGGTCAACAACGGGAGAAGCCGGATGCCTCGAGGCGTTATATCGCCCTTCTCCGTGCATTTCTTCTCAAGGCGGATGCGGGCGTCCGAGGCGTTGCCGTTGAGCTGGTTGTGAAGATCAGTCATGGGATCGATGGTCTCCTGGAAGACTTCCTCTTCCACGGCCTTGTCGGCCGTAGCATCACCAGAGCGCTCACGACCCTCCTGAGTTTCGGGGATCGCCTTGCCGATGTGGTTGTAGTTTGACCTTGCTCTTCCCATAGTCAGTTAGCTGTGCTTGGTAGCGACGAATGATGCTAACTTGATTGTTCTAGCTCTCAATGAAAACACCAAATGACAGAGTATAACCTCTTAGAGAGAAGTGAGAGCTAGATAGAGAAGTGCAATGAATGTTGTAATAAATGTATTTGTGAACCCTCTACAACTACCCCCAAGGGGAGTATTTATAGAGAAAATGTGGGCTAGGCTCCCAAGTCTTGGGCTTGGGAGGCCCGATTACAATGAGGCCTCTATTGGGCCGAATACAAAGTACGTAAATTGGTTAAGTATGAAATCCGGCTCTGTGAGCTCTTTGTGACCGACGGAGACCCGGCCGACAGGGACACCCTGGTTCTCCTGGCTTATGGATCATATTCTGAGTTGATGTCTTTCCGGCCGATGGAGGGCCATCTAGCCGACAGAGGACCCGCTGGGTGACAGCTGTGTTTCATATTCTTCTGAGTATGTGGGTCGTGGGGTCTGGATCCATATACTCCATCAGTGATCTTTAGTCGTCTTTCTTTTGGCAGTTTTGGCTCGAGAATGGAGGCAAGTTTTGAGAAGAGTCCGATAGATTGGCTCGAGAGGGGCATGTCCTCGGTGTCGAATGGGAAGGAATAGCAAAATCGGTGCTGTCCAGGAAAAATGGTGAGGAAGAAGATGAAGTATTAGCGATTCGCCCCTCTCCTGAGCCACCACCATGGATGGAGGATTCAGAAGAAGTGGATGCAAAAGTGGATCCAACGGATTCAGACTAAATTTGCTTGTTGTTTGTGTCTTTATTTCGTCGTACAATAAGGGGGAAGGGTATATTGAATTTGTTGATGGCGATGTGATAATGCCAGTTGAAAGGGAGTGTGTTGGTTTTGTGTAGCAGATAGAATTTTGGTTGGAGGCAATCAGGCTGATTCAACCGCTAATAGCATTTATGCTCTCATTGTTTCAGCGATTAGTCTCGCTCTTTTCGGAGCAGACTATTCTATGTCTGGTTATGATGTAAGAGGGCATTGGGCTTTGATATTGTTTGAAGAGAGGGAGATTTAAGTCTTGGAACATGATTATTACTCTTGTTTGATTGATTTAATATAAGTTTTTTTCTTTCAAAAAAAGAGGGTATGTACACGACGAAAGTGTACCAAAATGGTTCATTTTAAAACTTCATTTTTTTATCATCTTTTTAAAACTTCATTCAAAAACTGAAAAAAGCACTCCTTCCAAATATGCGGCGGGCATGTTTTTGTCGCTTTTGCGGACCAGCAATCCCGCATACATATATGTAGGATCCGAATCCGATTTTTGAACTCCAGAGCCCGCCACGGGAACGCTCTTTCTCCCCCTTTGCCTCAGTTCAATTGCTCCATTTTTGGATTAGATTTCGCCGAAGCTCCGACTAAGAGACAGAATTCAAGCTGACAGCGAGGAATGTCGTTGTCAGTCAATAGCGATTCACAATCCAAAAACCCTATCACCTTGTACAGCCGCAAAGAGAAATCTCTCGGCGTTCTCTGCTCCAAGTAACTCGCTCTCTACGCACAGTATTTTATTTCTTTTAACTGCATGTATGAACATACATGGTTGATGCACCTAGAAATGATATATGTATTCGTGTACGAACTGATATATTCGTGTTGCTCAGTTTCTTGAGGTTGTACGACCGAGATGATGTGGATTGCATTGGATTGGATCATGCCGCTGATCAATTAGGTCTTCAAACTATCTGTCATGCTTTTTTTCAGTTTAATTTCCGCATCATCTGTTATTCTCTTCAACCAGGTATAGGAAAGTCTTGGTTAACAAAATTTATTTATGATTTATGAATATGTTTGTGTCCTAGGTGTTGAAAGACGCCGAATTTACGACATTGTTAACATACTAGAGAGTGTTGGGGTAATTTTCTTTGGCATTTACCTTAAATTTTAGTCATCAAAAGCTGAAGCTAATTACAATTTTCTCTCCAGTTGTTGTCCAGAAGAGCTAAGAATCAGTACACTTGGAAGGGTTTCACTGCAGTTCCTCAGACTCTGGAAGCACTTAAGGTTCTTGTAGTATTTTTTGTGGATGACTGAAGCTTGGATTATCTTATGTTACCTTATGTTTTCATCTCATTTGTAGGAGGAAGGATTGAAAGAGAAGCTCAATGTCCAAAAGATTGGAAGTGTATGTGGTTTCTCCTTCTTGTGCTTCTCTCAGTTTACATTCCCTGGTTCATATACTGCCCTGAAGTTTTTCCTTCATTACCAATTATATTTGTAATTATGTTTTTTTAAATGTAGGTTTCAATGGAAAATGAATACCAACCAACTGTGAGCTCAAGCAACACACAGGATAGCAAACATGATTTTTTGTCCCGAAGAGCTAAGAATCAGTACACTTGCAAGGGTTTCACTGCACTTCCTCAGACTCTGGTTGCACTTAAGGTTCTTGTAGTAATTTTTGTGGATGTCTGAAGCTTGGATTATCTTATGTTACCTTATGTTTTCATTTTTGTAGGAGGAAGGTTTGAGAGAGAAGCTCAATGGCCAAAAGATTGCTAGTGTATGTGTTTTCTGCTTCTTGTGCTTCTCATTTCCATTCCCGTTCAATTGGCGCCTTAAAGTTTTTTTGTCATGACCGATTAAATTTTTAATTTTATTTTTTTGAATATAGGTTTCAAGGGAAAATGAATACCAACTAACTGTGAGCTCAAGCAACACACAAGATAGCACACGTGAATTGGCTAAAGAAGGTTACTAGCTTCTTTCCCCTTTAATTGTGTCATATGATTATTTTAGGAAAACTGAAAGCAAGAGTGAACTTTTAGTTAGTATTACAATGTCTTGATGTCAATTTTTTTCATTCTTGATTGCATAGACAACACGAAGGAAAAATCGGTGGCTCTCCTGACACAGAACTTCGGTGATGCACTTAAGGTTCTTGTAGTAATCTTTGTGGATAACTGAAGCTTGGATAATCTTATGTTTCCTTATGTTTTCATTTAATTTGCAGAAGGAAGGTTTGAGAGAGAATCTCAATGGCCAAAAGACTGCAAGTGTATACGGTTTCTCCTTCTTGAGCTTCTCTCATTTTTCGTTCCCTGTTTCAATGTTCAGTGTAAAGTTTTTCCTTCATTACCTATTAAGTTTATAATTATGTTTTTTAACATAGGTTTCAATGGAAAATGATTACCAAGTAACTGTGAGCTCAAGCAACACACAAGATAGCACACATGAATTGGTTAAAGGAGGTTACTGCCTTCTATACCCTTTAATTTAGTCATATGATTATTCTAGGAAAAGTGAAAGCAAAAATGAACTTATAGTGAGTATTACTGGCTTCTATGTTTTGGTGTCAATTAATTTTCATGCTTGATTGTATAGACAACAGGAAGGAAAAATCGCTGGCTCTCCTGACACAGAACTTTGTAAAACTTTTTCTTTGTTCTGAAGTAAGTGGAGCAGTCGTGGTTCTCATATTTTCATAAACTTACATATTTTAAAGTTGCTTATTAAAGTATGTTCAATGCTTCTTTATCTACCTTAGATGGAATTCATCTCACTAGACAACGCTGCATCAGCTTTGCTGGGTAACATGCATGATCCAACTGCCATGCGAAGTAATTTCCCTTCATTTATGGTGTGTTTGAAATTTGGATGAGAGGAAAGAGGAAAAGTTGAAGAGTAATATAAAGATGGAAAAAAGGGAAGAAAGTAATCCCATGCGGAAAGCACCATGGATTAATTTCTGATCCAAAATGGGAAAATCAATTAATTCTTTCTCAGCACTATATATTTATTCTGTTCTATTTCTCTAAGTGTATGGCTTGTCTTTATTTCTCAGTCTTTTTTTCTATCATTTGCTTCCCTCTACAACCTTGTCTCCATTTCCGTTCCTACTTTACTTCCTGGTTCCCTCATATTCCAAATATTCCAAGACACACTTACTCATGTTATCTTTGTTAAGTGGCAAAAGATTTTGCAAATGCATTCTTAATTTTAACTTGCATTTTCCCTATTTAATCTGCAGCAAAGGTTAGACGCTTGTATGACATTGCGAATGTCTTTGCATCTATGAACCTCATTGAGAAGGTTGGCTATGATTCATAATTTCATGTTGTGAAGATGAGTATTGGAGACAGTTCCTTATCATAATTTCTTGTGTAATTTTTTCAGATTCGTCACCCAGAAAGTGGAAAACCAGCATTCAGATGGATAGGGCAGTTAGGAAATCCAGCCAGGAGTGGGTCCAGTAGTGCTGCCAATATGAATGGTCTAAAGAGGACATTTGGGACGGATATTACAAATATTGTGTCAAAGAGAAACAAGGTTGGTTCATCATCAGATGTGAAGCCATGTGAATATGGGACACAGTATGTGAAACATGGTTACACGAAGGATGAAAACTGCAAATTGTCACCTGAGCGGCATAAGCAAGGCTCCAAAGAATTTGAGTTTGGTCCTTTCAGTCCCACTAGTGTACCAAGAGAGGTTCTTAGAAGCATAAGTGGTGGTGGGCATATTCACAACTGGGAGAACCTGGCTTCTACATATCGCCCTCGGTATTGCAATAAGGGTAATCTCTAGAACCAAACATTTAAATTGTTAACGACATTCCTTTCCACCCATGACCATCGAGATGGAAACATCTAATTACTCCAACATATATTTATCTAGTTTATGTAAAAGGTCTTGTTCATCTCTTGCCGATGACTGATGATTACCCCCTTGCATGTATAAGGTCCAAATGTTGACTATATGGCATTAGTAGTTCTTTTGGTATCATTAGTACAAAGTATGTAAAAGCTGTTTGCAGTTTCTAAAGCTCTTCTCTGTTCCAAACTAAGTACTTGTTCGATCAAGTTTCAAAGATCTGATATTGTCGGGTTTGAATTTGTCTGCTCAGGCTTGATTAGTATGAAGGTTTATGGTTTGGTCAGGTTTAATAAAAAAAGCACAAGTAATAAGAAAATAAAGGTGAAGAGAAACACTCAATTCTCTCATTAGGCGCCCAAAGTCTCAAAATAAGTGTTATTGTTGGATTTCAATGCATGTTCTTTTACTAATCTTCCCAACAGTGCCCATATTAACTTCTTCTGCATTTCATGCTTTTATGCCATTCAAAACAAGAAAGTTTCATTGAATGCTCAACGTAAATAAGGGTAAAAGGGTCCTTTTACAAGGCCTTTTAAAACGAGGCCTCCAAATTACTCCTTATTATATGTTGTCTTATTGCTACCTCTGAGTTGAAAAAACAAACTTGTTTTGGTGATCAATATCGCAGCTGCAAGTGATTTATTTGGTCACTATGTTGAGGCGTGGAATTCATGGTATATTGCGGCTGATGAGAGTAAGCATGATCAAATCCATCCCGCCCCACTTTGATTGCTTCCTCTCATTCCAACGGCAGCTTTGTATGATCAGCACAGAGTCTACATGTATTCTCTTCATCCTCTTGCAGATGAGAACAAGTAGTTTTTCGTTTTGTTTCTTGATGTAGCTCACATCTAGTACCCTACATTCCCACATTATTGAAGTCAGTTTTGGTTCACTGACTGAACTAAGAAAGCTGGTTTTCTTTTGGTTTTACTTGCCACCTCGCCTTCAATTAGACTTGTAAGATAATGTGCATAATAAACAGTGTACAGGTGCAGATGCGTAACGTCATACATCAACACATAATGCATGCATGCCAAAACAGGAAATGCAATACTTGCAACACATCCAAACAGTTTAACTTGCTTAGAAGTATCCTAATGATTTTTTTTATATGCCCTTGGAACCGGAATATTTCAATGCGACCTGGAACCAAATAAAGTTTTGGCTTGATCGAATAAAGGACATGGGACATGGGGTGCTTCAAAAACATGACAATTCACGACCATTAAAACATTTCTATTGCAAAAGCGTGAAAAGAGAGCAAGTGGCATTAGGCATAGACCGGTTCCAGGCCGGGCCGGTCCAAACCGGGCTTTTTATTTGGGCTTAAGGCCCGGAACCGGCCCGGGATTCTACCGGGCCCGGGTCGGGTAGTGTTTTTTTTGCTTTTCTAATTAATTCCTACCCCCACACCCCAAACCCCTCCAAAACACACAGCCCAACCTGCCTACCACCTTGGAGTTTAAAAAAAAATATTAGCCCGGGATCGGATCGTACCGGTCGGGCCGGTTCCAAAGAACCTGCAGCCTGAGCCTGCCCTCAAAACACCTCCAGGCCCGGTCCCGGGCAACTGTGCTGGGCTGGGCCCGGTCCCGGGGTATACAAAAAAAAACCTATTTATACTCCTATTTTCTATACATTTTTTACACCTCTTCTTCTACAACTCTTTCTACTCTCTAAAATCTAAATTCTCTATTCTCTTAATCTCTCATATTCAATCATCTTCATTCTTCATCTTCTCCAAATTCTTTCTACATATATATAATTTATATAATTATTATATCTACTCATATATTATAATATTAATTATCTACTTATAAATATATACTTATACACATTCATATTATAATTCTTTACGCATTATATATTTATATTATATACTATATATTGTTATACATATATATTATAAATTAAATATATATGTAATTGTATACTAATTAAAAAAAAAATTAAATAGGCCCGGCCCGGCCCGCCGGGCGGCCCGGCCCGTGAACCGGGCGGGTGACCCGAACCGAACCGGACCCGGGGTTATCCGGGCCGGTTCCGGGCCTGCCTTCCTAGAACCGAGGCCCGGCCGGGCCCAGGCCCGAACCGGCCCGAGTCCATTCCTAGTACTCTGAGAAGTAAGTGGAGGTCCTGATCTAGAATCACAATTGGGAATTTGGTACTGCCCAAGTGCCCAGTGCCCAAACGTGCTTCAAATTTGCATGAACAAACAATTTCTTTTGGCTGAAATTGAATCAACCCAAACCAATTTAAGCGGAAACTATGTAGGTTTAAACTGGTTCTGATTAATTATATTTTTCTTTAATTGTCACCTTGTCTTCAACTCAACATAATAAAATGTTAATATTGAAAAGGTTGAAAAGGTTTAATTCTACTTTTGCTTCCACAATTATGAAATCATTCGTATCCTCAAATTTTCAAGTATATATATATATATATATATATATATATATATATGTGTGTGTGTGTGTGTGTGTGTGTGTGTGTATATATATATATATATACACGGAGTATATTTTATGATGATGGCTAATAATCATTTAACAAATACTCGAATTTACATTTGATTATGGTTAGTTTGTAATAGACATTCATTCTATTCATAATTTTCAATCTTATAAATAATTCAATACCTCTAATTCTCTATTACTATTTCTCATCTTAATCTATGCCAAATCAACACTATCGAAACGTGTCCTGGGGGACCCGGACATTCCACTTGTTTATATACTCCGTATTAACTTATAATTCCAATTTTATCAACCGGAGGATCAAAAGTGGACAGGGGTAAGGGTCAGATAGGGCCTCTAACTTGGAAAAAAATGTCAAATAAGGCCATATTTAGGATTCTTTGTTCGGCCGACGCCATTTGGGGTGGTTCCCGGTGGAATTTTTTGAATTTTTTTTGAGAATCTTATTCATTAAGTCTAGTTTACTCATATCAAATTTGAACTAAAACTTCAATCGGGAAGACATTCAAATGAATTCTCGAAGATAACTGCTCTTTTAATTGCGCAGTTATCTTCAAGAATTCATTTGTATGCCTTCCAGATTGAAGTTTTAGTTCAAATTTGATATGAGTAAACTAGACTTAATGAATAAGATTCTCAAAAAAATTCATCAAAAAATTCCACCGGGAACCGCCCCAAATGGCGTCGGCCAGACAGAGCATCCTAAATATGGCCTTATTTGACATTTGTTTTTCAAGTTTGAGGCTCTATTTGGAACTGACCATTAAATCACGACTAGAAGTCTAGAAGACTAGAACCAGAGCTCCCAGCCCTATGAACCAAAATAGACTTTTTAGTTTATACCCACGGTTCAATATAGGTTCTGAGTTTCTAACTTTTGACAACATATACTTCATATAAGTATGTTTTTACTTGGACTGCTAGTCTGGTCTAATCTGATCTAGTCCGGTAAAGTTTGGTTCATGTGTATTTTATAACTGTTCAAACCTTGTCTAATTTGGGAATGAAAACAGTCCAAGTAAAAACATTCTAAATAATGTCAAACTGAAACTGACCAATAAATCGCACCAATCAAGCCCTCCTACCATATAGTGGTGGTTTAGTTGGTGTTGCAAGTGTTGGGCAGGTAAACTATATTAAAACTGATAGTCCAACAAAACTTACAAAAGCAGATCGACAACAATCAGATCAAAACCTACTTAAGTCATTCAGTTGAGGTTCTCCCAGTTGTGAATATGCCCACCACCACTTATGCTTGTAAGAACATCTCTTGGTAGTTGGTACACTAGGAAAAAAATAACTAACAAATGCTAAATAAGGGGACTAGGGGAGACCAAGTAGCAGGTGTTGAATGTAATACAACAAACAGAAAATATACATGTCTCCACAGTGCATTTATTCAAACATTTCAATCTGTAGCTTAGAAATTCCATTCAGTATAATAAGCATTGTTTCTTGCATTCCTTTTTAAACAGTGCTAACCAGTAAGGTTAGAAAAATAGAAGTCACATATTTTAACCCACAGGACTGAAATATCTCATTTAGGATCAGTGAAGAAGCCATTGATGGATGGCATGATCTGGGGAGACTTATTACGAACAAACTTTCGGACTGCATGTTCTGCATATTTCTCTCCTTCTGCGAAATTTTCCAGCACACCAGCAGCTCGCTTTTCCTTGGTCACCCTACACATTGCAAAGATGATGTGACCCATCATCAGTTCCCCAAAATAACATTCAAGCAAAGCAACACTGAGTACAGCCAAGGGTGAATGGTAAAAGGAAACAGAACATTTATGCAGAATTAAAGTGTGGATGCTTCAAGACTCTAGCCTCCAAAGAGACTAAAATACAGTTCCAATGAAAGTTATACTCCGTAGTAAAAAGGGGCATAGTAGTCAACAGTGGAGGAGCCAGAAATGTAAAGTTAGGGGGTTGGGGCTTAGAAGTATTATAATGCGAAAGCCAAAACTTAACATCAACATATTTTTACAAATAATAAAAAATTATATATAGATAGATACAGATAGATCTTTTTTCTTGGGGGGAGGCTCCACCACTCTAGCCTCCAACCCCTCCTTGTCTCCACCACTGGTAGTCAATATACTCCAGGTGGGTCTGGGGGAGGGGCCCTGAGGGGCTTGAAGTAATCAGTGCTGAAACTCACTCCATTGAGTTTCAAACCTTTATGTGCCTAGCGGGTTTCGAACTCAAGACCTCCCACTAGGCACGGTAACCTCACAACCAGCTGAGATTGAATGCTTGGTTATACTTAATTATGAATAGATATTATCCCTATTATCAATTTAGTCTAAGGAAATTGATGCAAATATGAGTAAAACAAGAGTCCGGTGCACAAATAGAAGTATCATTGTTTTGTCTACAAATCGATTTCATTCAATACTAATAAAAGAACAAAACAAGTTAAAACTTCTTTTTTACTCCATTAGAGTGTGAGTCTTATTTTCCCGAAACAAACAATAATAATTTTATTTGAGGAAATTGTGCTATATTTTGTTCATACTTATAGATTCTTCTCTTAAAGTCTTTACTTTATATTCAAAACAACACAAATGTTATAATCCTTTACAATCGACTCAATTAGCAAAATCATTTAATCCTACGAAATTCAATCACGTGAACTCATATACTTTATAAATTCATTACTTCCCCTTCTCGCTAGACAACATCGATATTTCTATTGGCTTTGTTACATGAATTGCAGATTTACACACAATACTGAATTATCTGTACCGCAGATTATCATTATAGCTATTTCAAAATCTATAGCGCCGGACTCCACAAACTGAAAAAAAACTAGAAATCAAGCCCACGATTTGCATGACCGAAAGAGCCTACTTGAATACTTTTTGTGAAATAGCAAGCAGCAAAGGTAAGAAGAGATCATGGCAGTATAAGGTTATGAATTATGAATAACAAAATTTACTATCTCCAATTACAAAACGCAAAAATCATACCTGACTTCAGGGTTGGTGGAGATGTTGCGAACCAGTTGCATTCCACAGATCCCAACGGCTACACCTACTGCGGCGAAGAGAGGGTAAACCTGAAATCGCATACGCTTATACCATTCAGATCTTACAGAACTCGAAAAATCTCAACTATTACAGAAATAGGGACGGAAGAGAGCTATAAGGGAAGATCGAGGAATAAAAGTGGAAAGAACCTCGGGCCGTAGCCATCGGTTGACGGCGGCGGGAGCCATTGGAAGATAGGATTCAGAGAAGGAGAGGCCGAGATCGCGTAGTTTTGAGCCTTGACGTTTGAACGCACAGATGATCTAAAGAGTCGTTGATTGCGACCTACTTGTATCCCGGGCTAGTACCCCCATTTCCAGCTGATAATAATTAAAAAAGGAATATCTTTATTGTTTTTTTTACAAGTGGAATATCTTTATTATTACGTATTATTTTGACAAGTGGAGTATCTTTATTTTTTATTACCTCCGTCCCATATTTAACTCCATTTTTGACCGGGCACGAGTTTTAAGATAGC